TAACAACGAGATAAAATTACGAATCAATATAGTCAAACTTAAGAGAAGGCAGACAGAAGAATACGTATACTTATCGAAACCTGTGTCATGCGGCCGTACATAGGCTGTTCTTAGGATCGGGTTTCTAAAGAAGCACAGAGCCTCGTTAAATAGGTTGCTAATGTTAGAATCTTGTGCAACGCATCACAAAGCAGACTGGAGTTTTTAAGCGAACAGAAGTTACTTTTCTCATGTATTATTGATTATTACGGTATAAACGCATATTAATAAAAACAACCAGCAACCGAGGCTCGTCGCAGACTGTCTCGACATATTTCTTCCCAAAGCAGCATCTTCCAAGTTGCCACAGTGATGCACTCCCCGGTGGCGGTCAGGCAGACATGATGGTACACCTTCGGTCAATTGGTTGCGCAACACACACATCGGCACGGATCCTATCTTTCATAATTTCCTACTCGTACAATGTTTCTGTGGATGCAACATTCACTTTTGCCAGCATTACATGTTTGTACCTGTCTAATTCTTACGTCATATTCGCCCAAATCAATGCGATGGATGTCTAATAAGTAATCGGTCTATGAACAAAATGAGCTTTTACTTTTAGACAGTATATGTGGACCATCTGTACTATGGGTGATGAGCAAGATGAGTGGGACGGCCGAATGATGCTACGGCTGAACACATCCCCAATAAGAGCGAATAATGCCTTCTGATAGAACATGGGCAGCCGTCTGCGTGGAACTTATTTGGGTCCCGCGTTCCCTATGTCCATGCAATGCTCCGTGGCATTGGTCCAACGCACTGGACTTCGCACTCCAAGCAAAATATCCTTTAACTCCCTTGCTAAGTCACCTAGGTTTTTGGCACTGATCTCGTTGACATGGCCGGGTATTAGTTGTTTAACACTCATGGTATTTGCGCATGCGGGGAGCTTGTGTGGCTTAGGTGTGCGGCTAAGGAAGGTAAGTTAGCAGCAAACATCCTAAGAAGGCATTTCCCAAAATCTAAGGAGCACTTACAATTATTCCGGAGGTCGACGCCTATAATGCATTTCCAGGTTATATCTGGAGACACAATGAAATGGTGATCCAAACTGACTCCTGGGACATCTAAAGAGAACTCGACCAAGACAATATGTCTAAGACTAGTATCTGTAGCTGTGTATAAGGTGATGTTGGGTTTATTTCTATAGTTAGCCCTAGCTTGTAGCTCTAAAAAGGTTTGTTGACGAATCGAAGAGCAACCAGCACCAGAGTATATCAAAGATGAAAACCTACCATCACCTACAGTACCTCCAACTAAGGGCAAATATGAAAAACTTAAGCATTAAACAACAGTATCGGGAACAATATAAGACTCACCGTCATTGTCTCTGGTGGCAGCTCCGATGGAGTAGTGCCACAGGGGACCAATTGAAGACGCATAAAGATATCCTTCCCGGTCATGGAAGAGGTAACGCCGACGGAACCGGTCAAGCTGTAGAAGTCATCATCCAGCTGCCTGGGC